CCAAATAATAGCACTCGGGTCTGGACAAACTTGGTATGGAATTTTTGGTGGATTAATTTCCGGTACACTGCACCACATTACATTATTAAATCAAATCATCAATGCCAGGTGGGACACATACTATATATTTTTTGTGGATAATTTTTTTAATGATTTTTACACAAATAAACTACCAAATAGTACTAAAATTGTACATGATCACAATATAAGACTGCAGGAAAAATAGTAATTCCAATTTTCTAAAAGGATACGTACATAACATTCTTTATATTATTAGTGGTAAGGTTGGTGCAAATTTTGTTTTAAATAATCAATAGTACAAATTTCTTGTGTGACAACTTTATGTTTGTTCTGATTCCCTTTATAAGAACTTATATTGATGCCTCTGTGACCAAATATTGGGTTAAAGAGCTCCGTAACAAGGTGATTTCATACTCGCGAGACTCAATCTGAAACTTCTGATTAAGGATGAAGAAGTACTTGCCACTCAATCACAATCCTCGTTAATGTGGTGTCAAGTTGACAAGCAGACAAACTCATTTATTTCTCGTTACTTCTTTGCTCGTAATGAAAACTCTATCCTTAATTTCTATTGTTTACACTTTACAGCTATACCATATTGCCTTATTTGTTTCTCATGACATCACAATAATGTAACGGCTTTCATTTAATAAAATGTCCAATTCATTTGACCACTTTAAGTTAATTGTTACTATAAGTTAATTTTTATCATTAGAATATTCATTTTAAGACTCAATTAATTTAAATTCGTGTTAGAAAATTTTATTTTAATGGTAATGCGATTCTTCTATAGTGTGTTTACACGAGTCGGAGCAGGTTGGATCGAAATGCATGGAATTAGGAATAAAAAAAAAATATTGTTACCTCGATGCAGCAATTTCAATTTGTGACAAGTCCATGTTGGTTGAACTGTTAGGTAAAGAAATAGTCCTTTTCATTTTTGTGGTGGTGGCCAATGGTGTTGGTTGCTTGATAGCCAGTACTTTGCAATTCAAATTGCTACCTGTACTGTTATGGTCCATGGCCATCCTTGTAACAAATCAATAAATAGTACAACTAGTTCAGTTCCACTGTGCTTAAACATATTCAATGAAATTTAAATATATTTTAAATGAGATGATCACGCATTTGATCGTGAGTTACAAATAATGGGGAGACACAATTGCAATTTGCATGAAACCGGCCAGCCAATAGGGTGTGACTGAAACGTGGCAGAGCAGAAAAGATTGGCACAAATCTCATTAAGTAAACAACAACAAAAAATTTAGGAGTTCCAACAAACTCAATTAATAATTCACAAATCCTTATCCTACTCTAAATATGATAAATCAGATAAGAACTAGCTTAACTAATTAAGTACTCCCTAATATTAAATCTAGTTTAAGAGATAAATTGAATCATCGTCTTTTTATTTTTAATCAGATATTTTAAACATAAAAAAATTTCGAATAAAATGTGTTTTCACCATTAATACTAAAAGTGGCTGTGCAGAGGAGAGTTGACCAACCATGGCTGGAGGACTTTAATGGCTTTATTGCTAGCAAATTCCTATCTACAATGGAATAAATCAATTCACACAAACTCCTTTTATCATTTAATCAATTTATCCCTAAAATTCTAAACTCCATAGTATTAAACTTTTTTTTTTCTTATTAAAGAGATGCACTACTTCTAATCAAAGTTAAAAGTTTGACTATTTTCAATTAATTTTCTTTCAAGGTTAATATACATATATTTATTTACCTTTTCAATACAAATATAAAGTTTATGAAAAAATCATGAATCCCACCTCGTCTGCCTTAGTAAAAAATTTTGACACTGACCTAGTTGATCAGGTTAACAATGTCGTCTTAGATTGAAATTTCATTAAAATAACAATATTAGGTGACTTTTTTCATATTTAACCAAATTTTGATAGTTGCCGATATTAATACCGGTAGGAGGTAACAGATACCTGTAGATAAAGCTATGATCATGAAGTCCAACAACAAGAGTTGAAGCTCCAATTTGTCTAACCATTTCAGCAATTTTGCGACCATCTTGATCTCCTTCAGTGACCACAATCTCTGTCTTGGTCTGTAACAGATCAACCACCTATCTCTGTTAACATATATGTATCAGTAACATTAAAAAAAAAACAGAACATCATGGTTTTAAAAAACAGAAAAAAAAAAACAGAGTAACCTACGTTGGGAAAATCGTTGCAAAGATCTTGAAAAGAGAGAGCTAATTGAAAACCTTTGAGTCTAAGAAGCCTAAGTTTGTTATTGCTTCTGGATCTCAAATTTGGGAAAACATGAAGAAGTGTTAGTAAATCTCCATATCTTAAGAGATTATGAAGAGCCCATTGTAGAGCTGTTTTTGATACTTGTACATCTTCTACTATTATTACTATTTTCCTCACATCCATATCAAAAAAAAAAAGAACTTTGTTCACAGCTCTAATTTTTCTCTTTTCATATGTATTCTATAGTAACAAACAAAACATAAACATAAGACTCTGTCTGCTTATGTTTTTATTTTTATTTTATATAGGGTCTGGAAACTGCAGGTTGTGTTTGTACGCCAAATTGGACCGCGTACGAAAATGAACGAGTTGAATTAAATTTGGTTAATTATTTTTATTAAATTTTTTTTCAATAGTGGTTATATTTTTGAATTAAATTAAAAATAAAATAACAATTAGCCACGAAATAAAAAATGTCCAAATCGTTCATTTATTAAATCAATAAATTTTAACTCGCATTGAGTAAAATAAATTGTTATAATCAGATCCTTCTATGGACTTTGTGTATAGCGGAAGATTTCGTGTACTAAATTGTTCTATTAATTTAAGATATTTAAAAATTGGATTAGTACATTTTAGGTAAATTGAAAGTTAAAAGGTTTTGATTTTGTGTGAACAATAAGAGAACATTTACTCATGTAGATTTCGTGAGTAAATGGACTTTTAAGATGCTCAACCGTTCAATAATGTTTAACATTAATCAAACAACACTTGTTTTCATTTCCCAATAATAACAGAATTTTGGATTTTAGACGCTTTTTAAAAATAATAATAAAAATACTTTATCACTATATTCATGTCAATCAACTTATAGTCTTGGATTTTGAAAAGAAATTGAGGTACAAACAATTATCATTGAAAATATTTCTTTTTTAAACATAATTAGTAGTTTTCTTTATATATTAAACAATACTCATATTATATTACTATTTTTAAAAAAAACACAAGTGACGTGACTAGAAACATCCTCAGAAAATTGTGGTTATCTGTTTTTGGTTCTTACTCCTTTGTCCTCTTTTCATCACTTTTTTCTTCTTAATTTTGTTCTAGGTTCAACATTATTTTATTTTAAACCTAATAAGAACTTCATCTTTTTTTTAAAAAAAAAAAGGATCAACAGTCAAAAATATATATCATATTCATGAATTGAAATAATTTTTCACAATAGAAAATAGCTAGTAAATAATACCTTCATTTATGATGGGCGAAATCTTACCTTTTTTAAAACTAAAAATAAGAAAAATTTGTTTCTTAATTAGATTACAAATTCTAATTATACATGAATTAAATAAACTAAATATTAAATCCTAAACAATTCAAATTTCTACTAAAACTTTGAATCATCCTAACATAGAAAATACATAAATCATAGTTAATAACAATAATATACTGATCAATGTAATTTTATATGTAAGGTCTAAAAAAATTAAAATATAAAAAAACCTGACTAATATGTTAGAAAGTTCTTTTTTTTTTTTTAATATGAAGCCTCAATTCAAATAAAATATTTCAAATCAGTATTTAAAAAAAAGAAAAAGGAAGTGAGATATTATTCAATAATGTGAACACTCACTCTGCGAAGGAAGTGACTAGTGAAAGCGATATGAGATAAAAATAAAGGGTATTTTGTAACCGATCTCAGATTATATCTACCGTAACCTTTTAACTTAGAGCAGCAAAAGATCCTCTATTCATTTTTACGCGTTCATATTTTAAAATAATCTTTTATTTTTAATATTAGATCAAATTTAGTTATTTTTTTAATCAAATTTGTATTCTAAAACCTAAGATAATAAAACTATATACATTATTTTTTTAAAAAAAACGTACAAAATTCAAAACAAACGAATAAAAGTAAACTGAAACTGAAACTGTACTATCTTTACAAATGATTCTCAGTGGCATTTGAAACTTTTTTTTTCTTTTTAGAAAAGTTTATTGAATTTTTTTCTTTTAGGAAAAACAGCCTCGAGATCCTATAAAGTACAAAAGGCATGCAACAACAAGCGGTTTGTTAGTAAATGTTGTTTGTTTTAATAATTAGCTTATTCAGACAACACTTTATTAATCAAACGTTACGTATGTTGTTTTTTGTTATAATAATTAGCTTATTCAGACAACACTTTATTAATCAAAAGTTACGTACATTGTCTAATTTGTCTCTTCTATATATTTTTTATTAGTATAAGTCATTGAACTTTTTGTATCCATATGCTAGCTGGAGAAAAAAAGAGTGCTACTTGTGTCCATTCACACACCACAATAATGATATCAAAAGAATATTGGTTTAATTTCATCTATATTCTTATCCACCAGGAAGAGAACAAAAAGAGCAAGGATTTTATTAATTAATTAATTATAGTATATAAAGTTATAAACTCCTTTTTGTAGTCTTAATGGAAATTAGGCAAATTCCCTGCTATCAGGCTCTAAGTTGCCAAGTTGGAGAACATGTCAAAGAGAGATCTAAAACGCTCTTGTCTGCATGAAATATTATACGTAAAAACTATAACACACTATTAATTTTACCTGACTGATACCTGTGCACGTAAATTTTACCTCTATCTTAGAATATAAGAGTAGTATTATTAAGTTTGACAAGTAACGGGATGCAGTAAATGCAAGCTCGGATTTAGACCTTGCAACAACACTTAACAAATTACCATTATAATGGAGAGCTCAAATATCAGCATTTACTTTTCAAACCTGTAGCATGAAATGGCCAAATTTTACTGCTTAGCATTACTAACAAAAACATCCATTCAACAAAGTTTGTAAATTAAGTTGTAGCAAATTAAAAGCAAAGCTGTCTATCTCTTCCTCAGGAAGTTATTGGTATCAGCTGATCATTTACCACTAATTACATTCTTCATAATTACCAAGCCTTACAAGTTATAGATTAAACTGAAGCAGACACATGAAGTCTCATTTTGAGACACGCCTCCACACTTTTTTTCCAGGACCACCACGCACATTGCCATATCTTCTGCCACCAAGTGAGGCTTGAGATGTCCTAGACGAGCGTGGTCTGTTGCCATGATCAATATGGACTATTGGGATCTCTACTCCAAAGGTCTGGCAACACATATGAACAAGTCTATTAATAGAATGAAAAAAATGATGAGCGTTTTATAATGAAAGAAAGAGGGCATTCATTACCTCGTTGTCTATTTTCATTTGTTGAGAGAGCGTCAGTATGGATTCATGCTCTGGTAGACCATAAGAAAGATAGTCGAAGAATTCGTCCTTATGGTAAACAGGCTGCACAACAGAGAGAAGTCAATAAATAAATAACCAGCCTTAATTAGAAAGCTTATAAATGAAACTTGTTCAAATTTTCCACCAGCTTATGGTCATCACTGTTGCTGAAGATGGCCCAAACTTCTTTCTTGTTGAACTTTTTGTACATTCCCTCGAAATCAAAGTCCTCTACAAATCTTCTTATCACACGGGGTTTCTGAAAATGAAAACAAAACTTAAGCTAGCAAAAACTACATGGTAAATAGCAATCGAGTGTACATGTGGAAATACTTTAACTTTCTTTTTGGCTTGGCACCAAGTAAAGTGAAACAAGAGATGGAGTTTGGTACAACCCACAGGTTGAACATGAATGCATAATAAATGAACATCCCGTAAGACTCATATCAATACCTATGTAGGCTTAAATGAAAATGCAAACAAAATAGATAATTAATTACCTGATCTCTTCCCCCAGCAGACTGATTTTTATCATGAGGAGATGATGTAGATCCCTGCAAGTAGAAGAAGAACGGAAAAAAAATAGAAAGGGTATTGTTGAGCACAGAAACAAGTAGTAGTGTTTGTTTTGATACAATGTGATCCAAGAAATTAGAAAGAAACACAAACACATAACAGACTTGGTTGTTTGCTAATCAACATTCAGCAATAGTTATGGTTTAACTGAATCAATGACAATGATCAAACTAGGTTTACTCATGAAACATAATTTCAATAAAGGGTGATATCAGCTTAACCTTTTACTATAAGTGGCCAAATCATATCATGAGGAAGAACAAACAAGGGACAAAGAGTGAACATACAGTTTCAGTTTTGGGTTTCTCCAGGGTTTCTTCACTGCTTTTTGATGGAAGGGCCTCCATTGCTGGTGCTATAGCAGTCATTTCTTCTATGTTTACGGTCTGCCTCTGTCCTGACTGTTGTACTTGTGGCGAACAAAATGTCACTTGTCCACCAGATAGCAAGGAAGGATTCGTAGTTTGGGAAAGGCCAGTACTATGACCCAACAACAAGGGATGTTGGTGTTCATAATAACTGGATCCACCAGCTACAGAGGTATTTACATTCTGTTGCTGTTGAACTGGGGCCTGTGAAGGCGGAGGATGAAAATAAGCAACTCCTCTTGAGGACCCAATTAGTCCTGGCCAATAAGCAGGCCTAGGCCTAGAGATATTTGCAGGTGGAGGAGGAAGAAATGAGCCCCTAAAGCTTGAAGTTGATGCTGATAGGTCACGCGGACGGGGCTGATTCAACTGGAATGATGTACCAGGCCTGAGGATGGGTCGTGCACTGCTTCTAACACTTGCACCATGAGATGTGGAGGCCATATGTGTAGGAGTTGGGTGACGAAAACGAGGCTTCCAAAGATTTTCATGCACAAGGTTAGATAAAGTATCCAGGGAGTAATCAGAAAAAAACTAATCCGTATAAGAAAAATATACCCGTATTATCGCAGGATGGCCAGGTACAGCAGATCTAGTTGGAGGTAAAGGAGGAGATATAACCTGCAGATCCTGAGACAACTCAAAGGCAAAGGAAAAAGAGAGATCCAGTACGAGATCATGTTTTTGGAATGTTGATAAATAATCGATTTTATTAGTTGATGTTTCAACTAAACTTTTTTGCTCCTAATAAATGTGACAATTTGAACAGCTCGAGCACATCCTAAGTTGTTTGAAGACATTTTTTTCATCTCAATAATTCTAGTTGACAAGTTATCAGTACAACTCACCTTTATGTTGGCTCCGCGTAAGTATATAAAATTGTAGATTCGGTCCTTTCCAGGAATCTGAGGGCCATATTTCAAGCGTCCTTCCGACCCAAAGAATTTCACTGCAGCCACACCAGACATTGATTAATTATGCATCAAAAGGGCACATGATAGTTAAATTATTAATAGATGAACAAAAAATAAAATAAAATCCAGGAACTAGAAATCATCATATGACTTAACAAAATGGTGACACTTTCTTTCTTTGATTGCTTGCAGCAAAATATTTGTTTCCAGAAAAAAAGTGTTTTGTTTCCAATTAGTAATGGGAGAAGTTATTATACATTTGCAATATTGATGATAAGCTTCAAAAACTTAATCTAAAAATATGCACTTACTGAAAGATGAGCTTATTTAGGAATAGAATTCTAGTAAATGTTATTCATGCTGTGATCCAAAGTATGAGGAACTATTATGAAATACAAGTAAATTCCGAACATTGATCCATTCGTTATTTGAGAATGGAAGTTTGAGTTTAGAGCTAAATAAAGAATGCTACAAACAACAACAACAACATCACAGGAAAATTTCACAAGTAGGGGGTTAGAAAGGGTTGGGTGTACGCAGATTATAACCCTACCTCGCAGAGAAAAAATATATACTAAAAACTATTATTTTAAATAATTGAAAATATACTGACTAAGATTTTTGCTTCCTAATTTGGTGAACTATCAAGGTGACATTGAATTTGTAAAGATTCTTAACTAATTCAAGTGGTTTCTCTAGCAAGTTGTTTGGTGTTGTTAGGGTTTATGCTTTCCCTAACAAAGTAGTGTGAAAGAAAAGTTCTTTGTAACTTTTCACACTTCCTTTGCCATTTTTGTTTCCTGGAGGAGATACATCGCTCATCTTATAAACAAAGTGATTGATTTTTCTTCATTTTTATGAAAACTAGCTGATCTTTAATTCTTTCTTCTAGAATAAATTACATCTTTTTTTCTTCTTTTTTTTTGTCTATGCTCCCAACAGAACTTCAATAATAGCACCAAAAAATATGATAACTGATGATATCTGCAATGGTAGCTGTCACTAGATGATCCAATTTGTGAGTGTTGATCAACACACATACATGCCAAAATCACTACAAAATTCTAAAAATCACCCAATGGCCATATAAACTGAAAAAAAAAAAAACAACAACAAGAGAAGTACTATTTCTGTGTGGTTTTGTACAAAACAATTCAAAATCGAGTTTATAGTACCACGAAACCAGTAAGAATCTATACAGATAATGAATGTAGAAATATTAAAACATACTGATCCAACAAAAAAAAAGAGAACAAAAGTAGTATTAGCTAGAATTGAAAGAATGACTATTTCTGTGTGGTTTTGTACAAAAACAACTCAAAAATCGATGTTATAGAACCACAAAACCATGAAAACACTTGGAATCCGTCCAGAAAACCAATGAAAACATACCGATCCAACAAAAAGTAGTATCAAAGTGAGGAAAGGACCATTTTTGTGTGGATTAGTACAAAAAAAAACTCAAAATTGATGCTTCAAAACCATGAATTCACTAAGAATCAGTCCAGATAACCAATGAAGAGTTATGAAAACACACAGATACAACAAAAAGTAGTATCAAAGTGAGAAAAGGGGTTTTGTGCTTAAGAAAAGCTTCAAAACCATGAAATTACTAAAAATCAGTCCAGATAACCAATGAAGAGTTATCAAAACATACAGATACAAAAAAAAAAAGTAGTATCAAAATGAGTAACTGACTATTTTTGTGTGGTTTTGTACAAAAAAAAACAACTCAAAATTGATGCTTCAAAATCATGAACATATAGCCAATGAAGAGCTATCAAAAACATCCTGATCCAACAACAACAACAAAAAAAATTTAAATCAGAGACTGAAGACCATTTCTCAATAGTTAAAAACAAGTAATATGAGATTGACAAAAATGTATACCATACTTAAGCCCAAGTCTATAATTACTAATTTCAAATAAAATTCCTTCATATCGCATTTCAGATGTCGAAATGACAGAAATTAGAGATCCGAGCCTTAATTCGCCGGTCCTCGCCAGAGCTAGTCTCTGATGAATGCCGATAGGCGGTGCTGCCATAACTAAAGTTTGAGAGACGTGAAAAACTAAGCAATCGCTACCGATCAATTTATAGAAAAAAATTTACAACTCAACTCAAGCCAACAGAAGAAAAAACACAGTTTCACGTTTTATTTGAGCACTTGTCAAATGCGAGGGAAGCACTTCTTTTTAGCTTATTTACTATTTTGTACATATTTGTATTTATGTTTTTCCTTCACCATCTAATTTTCCTCTTTCTTTTTTTTTAATTTTTATTTTTTATTGTGTGCTTTCCCACGTGAGATTTTGTTTTTTCTTTACCTTCTTTTGTTTTTTTTCATAATCACTTGTTTCAAGAAAAAAACTAGGGATTGGAGTCAAACTGCCAATTAAACTTTGAAACATTTTTACATATATAGTTTTAATTTTGAAAAAAAAAGTTTTATATTTATTTTTGTATAAAATAGTTAAGTTAATTATATAAAATGTGTTATTTATTTTTAATTAATAATATCAATTTTAAGTAGATAATGTCTGAAATTTTACGATTTATTGAAATTAATGATTATAATTAAAAGAGAATTTTGCTACATAACAAATAGATTTTTTTTTTAAAAAAAGACCGCAAATTAAATATATGATACATGTAACATCTATTTTATTTTACGAGTGGCTATTATTTAAGTTAATTTTCCTTTTTTAAGCAAAAGATTGTATATCTCTAGCGTGTTTTTCTAGCTTATTTATTTTTTATGTCCAGAAAATTCAGTATAAACAGCTTTGGATAAGAACATGTACGTAAAGCTCTTTGATTTGTGTTTAATTTGTTTGTTTTATATATTTACTGGGGCATAAAATTATGATGACCAACTAAAAAATTTGAAAAACAAGTGCATAGTCTCTTAATTTTTTTTAATAACTATATTGTTGAAGTCTCTAATTATTTCTAGACAATCATAGGATGTAATGAGGACTATATACTGTTCTGTTGAAAATAATAGTTTTGATAAGCTATAATTATGAGAGATGAACAAGTAATTGTTTTCACTTTAATTTGTTTTTTCCAAATATATGATCAAATACACTCATTTAAAAAAATTGTGAAAATTCAATCATTTAATGATTACTTAGATAATTCAAGTATTTTTGAGATGTATAGAGCATCACTGTCTTAGATGTTTATTCACTCAACTTCTAAGTTCACAAATAATATTAATGTCAACATTATATTTCTTGATGTTTTGTAATATATAAATTAAATCTCTTTCCAACAAAATCATGTATAAAGGAATAAAAGGAAAAGATCTTAATACTGAAGTTATGATTAATACTATTCTTTAAAAGGTTAATCTTTCCAAAAGAGAATTTCTTTAGGTATATTGCAACATTAGGTTTTATTAGCACTCTTCCTAATAAAAAGGTCCACTTAAAAGGAAAGAAATTTATATAAACTACGTATTAATTCTTTAACATTTATATGATCACGATAAGTTTTTTTCTTTTTATTAACATTATTTGATCATTTGTAATTTTTACATCTATTTAAATTAATTTCCCTTAAAAATAGTTGTTTTTTTATTTCCCACTTAGTGTTTTAAGCCCGCATTGGAGTCCCGACTAAATTCGAGTCACACTTACTACAAGGCTCAAACTTCTGATTAAAGGTGGAGCAGTCCCACCACTAGCTCTGGGCTGTTGATTCCCTAGAAAAATACCAGTTGAATGATGCTCAAATGAGCCAAGTGAAAAAGGATGGCCCAGTAGTGTCTTTATAAACCAGTAGCATGATAGTATTAGATATTAGGGGATTGGCTTCTGCTGTTTCTATCCACATAATCAAACTTTAGAAAAACAGACTTCTTCCACCTATTTGAAATGTTGAGAAACAATTAGAGAGGCAGAAAGGGGCTAAAATCAGTAAATTATGCAGTCTTCAGCTCAATTTCTTCAGCCTCCAGCAACCCCTCTTCCTCCTAAACAAATCCAAAGCACAACTATAAGCAAATGTATCAAATTTTCGCGTAGAGAACTTACCATTAGCACCAGTTCATCTGTGCTTCTACTATTAGGATCCCAAGCTATTGAGCCATTGAATCTATCAAGGGCAAGAGCAGATGAACTCCCTCCCGATAACCCCGATAAAACAGAACCAGAGCAAGAGCCTTCAAGAAAAATCGAATATTGTTCAAATCAGAATGTAACAAAGAAAGCATTTCTTGAAGTATCAGTTGATGGGGAACCTATAGGAAGGATTGTTATCGGGTTATATGGTGATAGTGCCCCATTTGGGTCATCAAGGTTCAGTAATCTTGTTAGTGGAGCAGCAGGGGTAAGTTATAGAAGAAAAGATTTTGTGAGGATAATGCCAAATTATGTACAACATGGTGGATTGAGATCATATGGAGTGGATGCTGAACTTGCCAAGAATACTGGAAGAACAATGGCAATCGATAACCTCGTAGATGAATGGGTGAAACAGAGTGAAATGTGCCAGGGTACAAAGAATGTAGCAACAAGTGTTAGCCTTATTGTAAGAGACCCTTCAAAACCACCTCCAAAGATGAAGCTGGTTGCACGAGGAGGGAAGCTCGAAATCGATCAAGAAGAAGTAGGAAAAGATGTGAATGGAACAGAGTTTACTATTGCCCTTAAAGACTCACCTGAGTTAGATGCATCTGCTTTAGTTATTGGGAGTGTCTTGGAGGGGATGGATGTTGTTGAGAAACTTGGCCAAGTCAAAACTGTGAAAGAGAATACAACTTCTCCTTATTTCAGGTACTGACAATCTACCAATCACTTAGTTCAGGTGGCTAATAGTGAGATTTGACTGAACAGGAACATATAAAATAGACTAACCAATTAAGAAAATCGTAGTATATACAAAACACAACCAACCAATTTTCTGGTTTTATCGACAGGGCGGCCAAGTTGATAGGAGATAAAAGAGCTGTAGTTGCAGAGAGAGGCTTCAACAGACCTTACTCAAAGGTGAAAATAACAAACTGTGGCTTGATGGAATGATCAAAGATCCTGTTGAGAGATTTTTGTCCTTCTATTTCTGCTAAGAGGAAGAACTGGTCAAACAAAAGTGTACAAAATAAATTCCTCGTGAAATTTTTACCTCTCTTCAGAAAGCTTACAACAATGGTAATAATGGGGTCTTTCCCTTGTTTACTTCCTGTCTAAAAAAGCAGATTACAATCCTCTTCTAAATAACTAGTCAATGATATAAAAAGTCTCTCTGGCTCTTGTCGGAGATATCATATGAAACAATGTCTTGCTAATTAGCCACTACAACAAGACCTAGAACAGAGGCGCATCCTTTAGAGTATTCTTCAAAGCACATGGTTTTAACATCCACATAAAATATAGGCAATAAGATGCAGAAACTGTCTCCACCGCGAAGGTGTGAACCATGGGGTGTACTCCATCACATGGATAAATTTGCTGAATTAACTTGGACGAACAAGCTTCCTTCGTTTAGCCTGCGGGGATGTAAAAAGCTTTTGCACTGAAGCAACAGGATCATCCACCTGCATAGGACCAAAACAAGACCATCTGGTATCAACAGATCAAAAGGAAGCTTATCCTTGCACTGTCTCAAACACCACAGACAAACCACTAACAATCGGTTTTAAGGGCCAACTCACCAGATAGAATTCCTCTAACACCACTCTAATCTAAAACATCAAAATTCAAATAAACAGCTGCGCCTGACAAATTAAATGAGCTATAAAATCAGCTGATAAATTGTTCTCAATTATCAGCAAACAAAAAGGGAAGTGACAACTTCAATTATCTGAATTATGCTTGGTCTAAGCATGGATTCAATCCTCTAAAGTACATAATGCAGTATTCAAATCTTGCCTCAAGTTCACAAGTTATATATCCAAGTAGCTCAAATTGTAGTTATCCAAGTCAAGGGCATGATGAAACTGATTTTTTGTAAAGGAATAGAAGGAACAGCATTCATCAATAGATCTGCCCTACACTAACCTAAATGTGACAAATAAGGTTTGCTTTAATTAGCTACAGATTGTTATCTGCTTCATATTTTGCTAGCCCAATTACTACTATAATTAACTAACATGTCTTTATCCTTACTGATTTGATACTTTATCTATTAGTACTAGTTTACTACTTCTTTACCTTAATCAAGGAAGATGGAGCATGATTGGACAAAGGAGAAGAAGATTCCTCATGACGCTCTAAAGCGGATAATGTTTGTTCCCATCCTGATGGAGAGACACCATTAGATGCTATCCAGGGGCAAAAATATCTGTGCAGCTTGAATGGATCAAACTCCAAAGCTTTATCTAAGGATAGAATTGGCAACTCCTTCCCTGAAAAGATAACATATGCCGTCAGTTGCACTTATACACTCAACAAAAAAAAATGCACCTCCTTTTTCTTTTCTATTGCTAACAATATTCACGCCCCCACCCCGAGCGCCAAACAGAAAAGCATTAGGGTACTGCATTTCCAGCATGCAGGCAGTTGTACCTCCTTAAACACTTAAAATTGAAGTATATATACGAAGAGTGTTGAGTGCTGTTCATCAGAAGATTTTCTGTATGAAAACGTGATACTTCTGTGAAATAGTAAATTGGTTGAAAAATCTCTTTCACAAGCGTATATGTCTGATATATCGGCAAAGCAGATAAAATACTGAAAGAGGCAGCATGATGCAACTCAAAATGAGGTCACGGAATAAGGAAGGGGCCTGCCTAGACTTGAAGCTAGAGAAGACTGAAAAACTTGGACATCAGTGAGGTGTGGTCTTTGGATAGACAGCAGAATGCAGATAGGTGTTGTACTACTGATTCATGGACATAAAAGAGAATACCAAAAGGAAGATGAAGCCTAGCACTTCATATGGTCCTTTTGAAAGATGTTCAAAATAAGACGAGACTGAACGGTCCTTGGACAGCAAAGCAGGTCTGATCTGCATTTCAACGCAAACATACCAAACTTGGACCATTTCATGAAACTGCAACTATATTGCAAAATGCAAAAAAACTAGGTTAAACTTGCACATTTCATGAAACTGGATCGATATTGCTAAAGTGCTAACAGACTTGGTTCACCCTCCAATTGCCACTTTAAATCCACTTCATGGAACAAATTGCAACAGTGCAATGCTAATGGTCAAGCATGATCATAGGACACTACACAAATTGCAACAGTGCCAATGAATCGGCAAGCATGATCATAGAACACTACACAAAGTGCAACAGTGCCAATGCTAATTTGCAAGCATGATCATAGAATACTATACAATTCACTAAAAACTGAATTACCTCGACTAGATGATCCAAAATCATTTCCAACCTTGTCCTTACAAGGATCCGTGACTGCTGGATCAACCTTGTTCATACTTTCTGTATTATCAGCCATTTCAGTGGTGTTACCAGAAACTTGTGCTGCAGCCTGGTTGTTTTCGAGTTGAGCTTCTGTACTCACTTCCGAAGTAGACAGTGAAGATCCTTCCTCAGTATTTTCTCCTGCAAGAAACTCTGGGTTTTTGCTTACACCAGATGAGCTCTTGGTTACTAAATCATCCTTGAGCTCAGATTCAGCAATAAACCATGCTCTCAGATTCCGTCCAATGATTGGCAGAGATATTTTTGCCCTATAATCATGTGTTACTGGAGGAGGACCACCGGCAATCGTCAAGTTG